CACACATACACACACACACACACAAACACACTCAGAATTCCGAGAAAAGAAAAAGTCGGAAATGTAAAAAATAAGAGGTCTCAACTGTGAGATAAAAAAATCGCAGTTACATATTTAAGGTTTTAGTTAGTTATATATATATATTATCAGGTGGCGGGGGGTGGGTGGGGAATTGCAAGATATATAAAAAAAATACATAAAGTGATTTTTAAAAATGTTAAAGTCAGAATTGTGAGATACAAATTCGCAATGCTCTATCTTTTCTCTTTCCTTGTCTTTGGTGATGGAAACAATCTTCCACAGTAACGCGTGTGCAGACACTGTCAGATAAACGCTAGAAACTCGATTATAATATTGCAATATTGTTAAGTACGCAGTGTGAGGCAGCGTGCACACAGCTGATGTCCCCTTACTAGTGTCCATGGCGAACTGCAGCATGATTTGACACTTGTGTCTAAAGGTGAAGAGACTTTCCCCGATCGAGCCCTGCTTGTGCTTGCTGCTGTAGCCGAACTCTTTCTGCTCGTCAGGCCGGTTGCTGTCCTGCAGCGGCTCTTTATTGCTACTCTCCTCTTCTTCAGCCCTATTTCGAGCCATCATCGCAAATGTCACGCGGGCATCCGGGAGTCACGTGACTGAAAGCAGGCAAAGGGCGACGGAGGATTAAAGTAGCTCGCGATTTTACTGAATCTACTTAGTGTGGGCTTTAGTTATTTTTATATTATTTTGATTTTCCAAATAAGATGATTTTGCTCAACATAAGATCCCGGCAAGGTTGTGTTGTTGTTTTCAAAATAAAAGTCCGACACAAGCAATAGACTATATATATATATTTTTTAATATATATAGTTCATTTCCTGACAAAATACGAGCACTATATACACCAAAAAAAAGGGTAATAAAGAAAATAATGATTTCTAGCTTTTTCAGTTAACGTGTGCGTGCGGTGCGTGTCGTGTGCGTGACGTAGTTGGCGCATGCGCGCAGAGGAGTGTGTTTCTGATCGAGACTCTTCATCATTACCGCAGGTATGAGACGCACCTCTGATTCTGCTCTTTACTGCTGATTTTAACCCAGCTGAATGAGCGTCTCTAAACAAGCGTTTATAACAAGTTTGTGATTAGCAGAATAAATATCCCACATGTGTGTTAGCACGCCAGTAACCCATGTTTTATCAAGTTAATCATCAGTGTGTACGAGTCGTTTAGCTCCACACAGCTCATGATGAACCTGCTGTTTCTGTCGCAGAATGACAGACTGACGATAATTCATTTCGATTTATTTATTTACTTTATTTGTTTGTTTTTGTGGAATCTTATTAATCTGTAGTTAGCGGCTTTTTCGAGGCCGCATTGTTGATAGGTTAACTTTTGAAGAGTTGCCATGGTAACCGTAGCTTCCGCGCCAGCGTACTACAGTCGTTGTTTCCACTGTAAAATCATAATTAACTATAATGATCGTAATAAGTCATTAATAATTGCATTAATTACAAGTAATATACAAATAATTAACTGACTAATCTCTTGAATAATTGACTCATTTTGCATGATTTATTATTTTGTGGTTTTCTATGGTAACCCGGTGCTAACTATGGTAAAACTCTGTAAAACTTTTATTTAATAGATATCACCATACCTTCCCAGTGAATTAATCACAGTACATTAAGACATGACATTTTATAATGCAAGTTTTCTAGAATGTTATATCTAATAAAAAATGCATTTTGCATATTCCTAAACAGAAATCTGAACATTTTATGAAGCCAGCAGCAAAATTCTCTTTGATTTTTTTTTTTACATATTAAAGGTTTTTCCAGTGGGGATTTTGTATTTCTCTTTTTATCAGAAAATACTGTCAACAGACAGAAAACAAATACATTTTCGCCATGTTTTAAGGAATAAAATGTTGTATAAATCAGTGTGAATAATATATAAACAAACCCCTCAGTAAAAACCTTCAGAATATAGAGAGGAATAAACCTGTAAGTTTTGGTGTATGTAAGTGCTGCTGAAGTGGAGATAAAAACTCGCAACCTTTAAAAACATGCATTTTCACCATGTTTTTAGGAATAAAATGTTGTATAAATCAGTGTGAATTATATATAAACAAACCCCTCAGTAAAAACCTTCAGAATATAGAGAGGGATAAACCTGTAAGTTTTGGTGTATGTAAGTGCTGCTGAAGTGGAGATAAAAACTCACAACCTTTAAAAATATGCATTTTCGCCATGTTTTTAGGGATAAAATGTTGTATAAAATCAAGAAAATAATATATGAACAAACCCCTCAGTAAAAACCTCAGAATATAGAGAGGAATAAACCTGTAAGTTTTGGTGTATGTAAGTGCTGCTGAAGTGGAGATAAAAACTCACAACCTTTAAAAACATGCATTTTCGCCATGTTTTTAGGAATAAAATGTTGTATAAATCAGTGTGAATTATATATAAACAAACCCCTCAGTAAAAACCTTCAGAATATAGAGACACAAAGGCTGCATTTATTTGATCATAAATACAGTAAAAACAGTTAAATATCATTACAATTTAAATTAACTGTTTTCTATGTGAATATATGTTAAAATGTAATTTATTCCTGTGATGCAAAGCTGAATTTTCAGCATCATTACTCCAGTCTTATTCTAATTACATTATTTTAACTTATTCAAATTGTATTTTATTTTGTCATCAAAAATACAGTAAAAACAGCAAAATTGTGAGATATTATTACAATATAAAATAGCTGTGTTCTATGTCAATATATTGTCAAATGTAATGTATTGCTGTAATTTTCAGCAGATATTACTCCAGTCTCATTTAAATGTAATTTATTCTAATTACTTTATTTGAACTTATTCAGTTTTTATTTTATTCTAATTATTTTGTCATTTTATCTTTTTTGGGTTATCAAAAATATAGTAGAAACAGTGATACACAACCACAAAAAATATCCACAAAATAGTTTCCACAAAAATATTAAGCTGCAATTTTCAAATAAATGCAGCATAAAAGGCGCGTCTTAAAACATTAATATTCCTAACGGACCAGTAGTGTAAATTTGCTTTGTATGCTTTATAAATTAATAAGGAAAAACTAAAATAATCATCAACAGATCAAATCTTTATCCCGTGATCTCCTCTCTGTTTATTCGTCCAGATTATGAGATGGTTCTCAAACTGGATCCTGGAAGCTCAGAGGCCCAGAATGAGATCCAGAAGCTCCAGCAGGTGTGTGAGTGATCTGGTTTGACAGACGCGTGTGCTGTGAGATCCGTCAGTGACCGATGCTTAGTTTCAGGTGCTGGAATCGAGTGGACGCACGGCGGAGAAGAGCGAGAGCGATGCAGAGCCGTTACAACAGCAGCAGAGGAAACAGGAAGCAGTCGTGCAGAAAGACAGAGTGAATATCTTCTTCATAGGCCTGGGCGATAAAACGGTATCGATATTTATCGACGGTACACCTTCTTCGATAACGATCGAAAAAATGTTCGATATAGTGCACGATATAGGCAGGTGCTCTGAGTGACGCAGGCAGCACACACAAACACATGCTGTAATGCCTCCTGTGATGAGATTGTGAATAAAGAATGAATATTAGTCGAATTTAAATTAAACATTTGCATTTGAATGTTAGATGTGCATCAGTGGCGCGCAAGATGCAGTGATGATGTAAGTGACGTTGTTGTATTTGAATGTTTTGTTAGTCTAGCCCACGAGACGCACCGCTGCTGCATTATTCATTCAAAGTATTAGAGAAATATAGAAGCTCAATGCGGAGAAGATCTTGAATGGGTTAAAACCGAAACCAAGCCATTCACACAGAACTAGGGCTGCACGATATATCGGAATATCGCAAATGTAAATATCGTGATATGCATATCGCAAGGGCGTGCGATATCTGAATAATTTTAATAATAGGCTACTTAAATCAAAACATTGCAAAAGGTCAAAGTTTTAGTCTCGTCTTGCTGTCTGACTCACACCTGAAGCGCGCGCACAAGCCGCATCTCACACAGCGTATCTTCCGTTCTGCCGCACACCTGCAAAGCGCGCGCGCACACACAGAGAGACGCGTTTCAGACGGCGCGCAGACACCAAGTTGATTCGTCTTTCGCATCTCCTCATGTTTGAACAGACACATACACACAGAATTATGTCAATAGTACCCGTCTCGACGATCATTCTCGTAAACGCAGTCGGTTATGTTTTAAATGAATGTAAACAGCTGAGAAAGAAATCGGATGTGTATCATTATACTGGATCCGTGCAGTCGGATTTAAAGGGACAGCAGCCTATAAATACGTGCTGCTGAATATGTCACTAATGTTAATCAAACAACAAAACAGCTATAACAAAGATTAATCTAAATTTAATTCATACAGTGAACACTATGCAGTGTTATTTTACACTTAATTATTACATTTCTGTACCTGAATACTATTTATTTTATCTATGCTTGTAAATTGTGTATTTGTTCTTTTTTCCCCTTCTTTTTTTTTTACTGACTGTTCACTTGCCTTTAAGCATGTTTGAACTTTCTCGTACTATAGTTTCTGCTGTGGTATATGAAGTACTTAAAGTGTGTGGAAAGCAAAGTCACAATGATATAAAATTAGTGCGCTTTGTTTTAAAAAATGTCAATTATTATCGATACCGAACGATATGAAACATTATATCGTTGATACATTTTTTAGCTATATCGCCCAGCCCTACTGCTTCATCATCATCGCGATTGAGCCGATCTGAACGCTGACGCTGTTTCCGATGTTTCAGGGGAACGCTTACTTTAAAGAAGGCGAGTACGAGGCGGCGGTGGAGTGTTACTCGAGAGGAATGCAGGCGGATGGGACGAATGCACTGCTGCCTGCTAACAAAGCCATGGCTTACCTCAGACTCCACAGGTGACACATCCCTCAGAAGTGTGCTCACTGTCTAGTGCGTGCTTGTGTTAGAGTGTGGTGTGTGTTTGTGCAGGTTCAGCGAGGCGGAGCAGGACTGTAGCGCGGCTCTCGCTCTCGACGCCTCGTACGCCAAAGCCTTCGCCAGACGAGCCACGGCCAGAGCCGCTCGAGGCAGGATCAGAGAGGCCAAAGAAGGTCCGTCATCCATCGCTTCGGTCGCTTTCGCAGCCTCATCCTCGTTTCTGAGGAGCTCACATGCATTTGTGTTTGTCTGCAGATTTCAAGCAGGTTCTGAAGCTTGAGCCGGGAAACAAACAGGCCTTGAGTGAGATCGAGAAACTCTCAGCGGTACGTGTGTCCGCAGCACACGGTCATGGATTCGTCTGGTCTAGGGATGATTTGGGGACAAAAATCTTTTTGCAGTTTTTCCTGATGAAAATTGTTGTGATTGTGGATTTAAAAAAAAAAAAATCCAAGTTTGCTGTGCTTGTTTGTAATAATTAATAATTAATAATAATTTATGCATTTAGCAGACGCTTTTATCCAAAGCGACTTACAGTGCATTCAGGCTATACATTTATTTACCAGTATTACAGTTTGTAGCCAAAATGTTGTGATTATATTTATCAACATGGCTGTATTATTATTATTATTATTATTATTATTAAATAAAAGCAGTAAAATGACTAGATAAAAACAAAAGAAGAAATATTACTATTAATACAATTTTATAGATACTTGACTTTATAAAAATGTTATATTTTATATTTTTTACATTATAGCTGTAAAATTATGTTTTTAATAAGTGCACAGCATTTTGGGGGAAAAAAATCGAATTGCAATTTTTCTGATAAAAATTATGAACGCAAAAAAACAAAAACAAAAACTTTGCTGTGCTTGATAGGGCTGAACAACTTGACCAAAATTTTGTGATTATTATTACTAAATTAAAATATAAAAATGACTGAATAAAGAATACTGCTATTGTAATATTTCAAATACTAAAAGAAAAAAAATATTAAAAAATATTTTTTTTATTTATATTATATTTTTATATTTAATTTAATTATAAACATAAAATATTTACTAATAATAATAAATATAAAATGACTAATAAAAATATTATATAATAATAGTCATTTAATTTTTTATTTGATTCCAATATTTCACACAAATAAAAATCAAGTATTTAAAAAAATAATTATTATTTACATTACAACTGTAAAATTACGATATTAATATTTTTGACCTTTTATATCATTAATTTTTATACCATGGTCAAAACTCGCAGGGAGCCCTTGAAGCTTCTCTTTTGTTGATAAGTGCTTCTCATTACAAGTTTGTGAAGAAGGTTGGCGCGCGTTTCCTAAATGCACGTTACAATTAGCGACTCAAACTCAGAGCAGATGCAGATGGAGTCCATGAGGATCATGATTACTGATTTATCATGATTTATCATTCACCTGTTCATCAGGAGATGAGGAGCAGCGGTCTTCTGGCTCCAGAGGACAACAAACAGAGGAGAAGCATCCAGTCCATCAACAAACCTGAAGATCTCAGATCCACCGTGAGTCCGTGATATGTGACCCTGGAGCACAAAACCAGTCATAAGTGTCAATTTCTCGAATAAATAAGCTTTCCATTGATGTATGGTTTGTTAGGATAGGACAATATTTGGATGAGATGCAACTATTTGAAAATCTGGAAGGGTGCAAAAAAATCTAAATATTGAAAAAAATCATCTTTAAAGATGTCCAAATGAAGTTCTTAGCCATGCATATTACTAATCAAAAATTACGTTTTGATATATTTACGGTAGGAAATTTACAAGATATCTTCATGGAACATGATCTTTACTTAATATCCTAATGATTTTTGGCATAAAAGAAAAATCTATAATTTTGACCCAAACAATGTATTTTTGGCTATTGCTATAAATATACCCCAGCGACTTAAGACTGCTTTTGTGCTCCAGGCTCACATATGAGGAGGAATTGAGGTCGTTTTTGTGTATGTTGAGTGTCAATGCATCATGTGTGTTTGTGTCGCCTCAGAAACCCTTGAGGAGGATTGACATCCAGGAGGTGGGTGCAGAGATCTCACCGTCCACGTCTTCACCGCATCCCAAGATCCAGAAGATAGAGGAGATCTCAGACGCTCCTGTATCCAGGTGAGCAGATGACGTGATCCGATCGTCACGCTCTCCTGCTGCTGGAGTGAGTCTGTCAATGTCTTGTGTTTCAGGGCTTGTGTAGATTCATCTGCAGATCCTGAATCGATTCCTCCTCCACCCAGCAACGCTTTCCAGCTGGAGGCCGACCTCAGGAAGACCAGCCGTCACCCACAATCCACTTACAAATATCTGAAGGTAGCGTCAGTGCCGCTCACTCTATCCTCTCTCTATCTGTGCTTCTCATCTCAACGTTTAACATTGCAGCAAATCAGTCCAGACGCTTATCTGAAGATCTTCCAGAACTCTCTGGAGCCTGATGTTCTCAACCACATCCTCAAGACCTTCCACAGCTTCTTTCAGTGAGTGCTCAGATGAAGATGATGATGAACCGAGAATTATAACTGTAAAGATAACTATAAAAGTTACTATCAACAATAACTATAGCAGTGCTATTAACGAAAACGATTTGAAACATCATTTTCAGAAAGTGAAATAAAATGTAAATATTTAATGGAAAATATAAATGAAAATTAGAAATGTTACCATGGCAACTAACTGAAATATGTTGAAGTAAGAAAAAAATTACGAAAATTAAAATAAAAAATAAATTACAGCTAAATAGAAATATTTTTAAAAAATACTAATAAACATGACAAAATTACTAAAACTTAAACTAAAAATTAAAGCTAATTCTAAATAGAAATAAATACTATAATAGCATATCACTTAACTCTAACGGTAACCATAACTAACTATAACCTTAACTTGAATGGTAACTATATCAGTGTTATTGTTAACTAAAACGATTTAAAAAAATCATTTTCAGTAGGTGAAATAAAATATAAATATTAGATGAAAAATATAAACAAAAATGAGAAATAACTAAAATGGGTTTCAGTTGAAGTACTAAAATTACTAAAATAAATTACAGCTAATCAAAAAAACGTCTAATGATGACAAAGACCATTAGAAAATTAAATTAAAATCTAAACTGAAAAAATATAAATATTAAAGCTAATTCTAAATATTAATGAATACTATGAGTTTATAAATAATAATAAAATAACACTGAACCGTAACGATAACTATAACGTGACAATAACAATGAATATAACTATAACAATAACTGCAACTATAATGATAACTATAGCAGTAACTTTAAAACGATAACAGTAACTACAGTGGTAACTGTAACAATAACTATTATAATAACTACAATGCTAAGAATAACGATAACTATATTAGCAGCACTTCAAATGCTTTGATTATGATTGGCTGTCAATGTTTGTATCATTCATCAGCTGGAAAAAAATGCCTCTAAGTGATTTATGGTTATAGTTATCATCCCTGGCATTTACTGCAGACAAAGAGAGTTCGACGTGATGATGTCATTTCCTGTTTCCTGTGTCTGGTCTGTGATTTCAGACATGATGATGCATCTCTTCTGCTGGCCGTTCTGAGGAGCCTGGCGAGCGTGAGGAGGTTTGACATGACCGTCATGTTCATGTCGTCCGCCGAGAAGAAACGTACGAACACACACAAGCACTGAACACTGCGCGCACAGCGGCGAATAAACACAAACTCTGTTCTTTCTGTCAGTCTTACAGGAGCTGTTTGACTGGATTCACAGCGCAGGTCTGGGAGACGCTTCCGTTCAAGGCTTACAGAAGAAATACGGCCTTTGACCTCTACAGAAATCTCTCCGGATTAGATTTACGATCAGACTGACACCTCACTGTCTGGCTTCGCTGTGAATGAATCAGATGCTCTGATTCCTCAGAACGGACGTTTGAATGGGTTTATGTGGTTCCTGTGCAGATGAGCAGAATTTCATATGATATTATTATGAGTCCATCTAAAACGTTCACTGTTGGTTCATGTGTTTTTCTTCTGTTTCTGTAGTTCTGAATGCTGCAGTATTAAAGTCAACATGAAATCCAAACGGACTCTAGACTCCAATCCTACATTTTCTTCATTAAATGTATGTAATATCTATACATTTCTAACTATATTAAGTCATCTTTATTTATATATTGCTTTATGAAATACAGAGTGTTTCAAAGCAGCTTCACAGTGATAAGCAGGAGAAAATTAAGCAACGGTACATAATCTAATTCAGTGCGATAGTATTAAATGCACTACAGGTAACAGTGTCATTATTAAGCTCAAGTCAGTTCAGTATCACAAGTGTTGCAAAATTTGTCAGTTATGAAGCCAAGATGATTCAGCGCTATAGAAGGTAGGGCTGGGTAAAAAAATATTGATACCTCGATATTAATCGATTCTCATTTTTACGGAACGATATCGATTCTTAAATCCAAGATTTTGTGCTCCAGGCTCACATATGAGGAGGAATTGAGGTCGTTTTTGTGTATGTTGAGTGTCAATGCATCATGTGTGTTTGTGTCGCCTCAGAAACCCTTGAGGAGGATTGACATCCAGGAGGTGGGTGCAGAGATCTCACCGTCCACGTCTTCACCGCATCCCAAGATCCAGAAGATAGAGGAGATCTCAGACGCTCCTGTATCCAGGTGAGCAGATGACGTGATCCGATCGTCACGCTCTCCTGCTGCTGGAGTGAGTCTGTCAATGTCTTGTGTTTCAGGGCTTGTGTAGATTCATCTGCAGATCCTGAATCGATTCCTCCTCCACCCAGCAACGCTTTCCAGCTGGAGGCCGACCTCAGGAAGACCAGCCGTCACCCACAATCCACTTACAAATATCTGAAGGTAGCGTCAGTGCCGCTCACTCTATCCTCTCTCTATCTGTGCTTCTCATCTCAACGTTTAACATTGCAGCAAATCAGTCCAGACGCTTATCTGAAGATCTTCCAGAACTCTCTGGAGCCTGATGTTCTCAACCACATCCTCAAGACCTTCCACAGCTTCTTTCAGTGAGTGCTCAGATGAAGATGATGATGAACCGAGAATTATAACTGTAAAGATAACTATAAAAGTTACTATCAACAATAACTATAGCAGTGCTATTAACGAAAACGATTTGAAACATCATTTTCAGAAAGTGAAATAAAATGTAAATATTTAATGGAAAATATAAATGAAAATTAGAAATGTTACCATGGCAACTAACTGAAATATGTTGAAGTAAGAAAAAAATTACGAAAATTAAAATAAAAAATAAATTACAGCTAAATAGAAATATTTTTAAAAAATACTAATAAACATGACAAAATTACTAAAACTTAAACTAAAAATTAAAGCTAATTCTAAATAGAAATAAATACTATAATAGCATATCACTTAACTCTAACGGTAACCATAACTAACTATAACCTTAACTTGAATGGTAACTATATCAGTGTTATTGTTAACTAAAACGATTTAAAAAAATCATTTTCAGTAGGTGAAATAAAATATAAATATTAGATGAAAAATATAAACAAAAATGAGAAATAACTAAAATGGGTTTCAGTTGAAGTACTAAAATTACTAAAATAAATTACAGCTAATCAAAAAAACGTCTAATGATGACAAAGACCATTAGAAAATTAAATTAAAATCTAAACTGAAAAAATATAAATATTAAAGCTAATTCTAAATATTAATGAATACTATGAGTTTATAAATAATAATAAAATAACACTGAACCGTAACGATAACTATAACGTGACAATAACAATGAATATAACTATAACAATAACTGCAACTATAATGATAACTATAGCAGTAACTTTAAAACGATAACAGTAACTACAGTGGTAACTGTAACAATAACTATTATAATAACTACAATGCTAAGAATAACGATAACTATATTAGCAGCACTTCAAATGCTTTGATTATGATTGGCTGTCAATGTTTGTATCATTCATCAGCTGGAAAAAAATGCCTCTAAGTGATTTATGGTTATAGTTATCATCCCTGGCATTTACTGCAGACAAAGAGAGTTCGACGTGATGATGTCATTTCCTGTTTCCTGTGTCTGGTCTGTGATTTCAGACATGATGATGCATCTCTTCTGCTGGCCGTTCTGAGGAGCCTGGCGAGCGTGAGGAGGTTTGACATGACCGTCATGTTCATGTCGTCCGCCGAGAAGAAACGTACGAACACACGAACACACACAAGCACTGAACACAGCAGGTGAATAAACGCAAACTCTTCTTTCTTTCAGTCTTACAGGAGCTGTTTGACTGGATTCACAGCGCCGGTCTGGGAGACGCTTCTGTTCAAGACTTACAGAAGAAATACGGCCTTTGACCTCTACAGAAATCTCTCCGGATTAGATTTACGATCAGACTGACACCTCACTGTCTGGCTTCGCTGTGAATGAATCAGATGCTCTGATTCCTCAGAACGGACGTTTGAATGGGTTTATGTGGTTCCTGTGCAGATGAGCAGAATTTCATATGATATTATTATGAGTCCATCTAAAACGTTCACTGTTGGTTCATGTGTTTTTCTTCTGTTTCTGTAGTTCTGAATGCTGCAGTATTAAAGTCAACATGAAATCCAAACGGACTCTAGACTCCAATCCTACATTTTCTTCATTAAATGTATGTAATATCTATACATTTCTAACTATATTAAGTCATCTTTATTTATATATTGCTTTATGAAATACAGAGTGTTTCAAAGCAGCTTCACAGTGATAAGCAGGAGAAAATTAAGCAACGGTACATAATCTAATTCAGTGCGATAGTATTAAATGCACTACAGGTAACAGTGTCATTATTAAGCTCAAGTCAGTTCAGTATCACAAGTGTTGCAAAATTTGTCAGTTATGAAGCCAAGATGATTCAGCGCTATAGAAGGTAGGGCTGGGTAAAAAAATATTGATACCTCGATATTAATCGATTCTCATTTTTACGGAACGATATCGATTCTTAAATCCAAGAATCGATTAGCCTAGCCTGTTTTCAGTTAATGGACGGAATGTTGAAGGGCACTTTGCAGTATTTAAACAATAAATGCCGTTTTGGTGCTGTTTAATGTGGAGTGATCGCTGTAGCGCCGCTTCGCTTTATTACTAGTTATAGCACAAAATAAACATGACTAAACATCCGAAGGTAAGTTAAAAGAAAGAGTACAACTTTACAATCCGTATCCTGTCTCAAATAATCGCTCAATCAGTGTTTCAGCTGCGCAAAGACGTCATAATGGCTTGTAAACAATGTCACGTAACGTCACATTTACCTCAGAAAAAACGTATTCGTAACCATAAACTCCTTAAT